AATGTACTGACTTCGGATATCTTCCTTCTGTAGAAGTCGGCGTTCAAGGCTCATAAATCGGTTATAAGCCATTGCATGTGATTTCCCCAATGCTGTTGGAGATTCTTGAAACAGAAGGCTGACGATGAAACGACCATTCTGATCCGTCTTAACATGTTGATTGAAGTGAGATTCGCAAAGGGTTTCTAATGGAGACATGACCTTTTCAGTTGATTTCACTTCCTCAAGTTTCCATAATTTTTCGATAGCTTGTTCCAGTGATGTTTCACTAAAAATTGCGCATGTTAGCGCTGCTGATGTGTCGTCCGTTGACGATTGTTGAATTAAACCACCTACAATCCAGCCAAGCGCAGTATTTTGGAGTATGGGTTGATGACCATTTAGTTTTATTGTGCCTGGTTGCATTAAACTGAAGTAAAACTCAGCTCCGAGTAAAATGTCAATTTTTCCTTGAACGTTAAAATTAGGGTCTGCTAATCTAATATTCTTGGGAATTTGCCAGTTTTGTATATCCAAATCATGATTTGGTTGCGGAGGTATAATTGTGGGCAAAACAAATGCTTCCAAATTTGTGGAAAATTCAGAATTGCTTGATAACATTTGTATGTTTACCCGATGATAAGCCTTCTTCTGAATCCTTCCGACTCCGGAAATAGATAAAGAGGCATCTGCTGTTCTAAGTGACAATTTTTGTATGAGTCTTTCCGTCACAATGTTCACTTGCGAACCCGAGTCTAACACCGCTCTAAATTCGCCTGACATACCGTTAGTCGCTTTGATGATGACTCTAGCCGTTGCTAGGATTACCCTTTTCTGATCTTCTGCTGATGCCGAAGAAACTGCAGTAACGTTGACTGGTGCGATATCGATTTTTGTTGGTGGTGATTGATTTGAGGCCTTCGGCGACGGTTGAGACTTTTTTGGCAAATGTAGCAATGTATTGTGCTTATTACTACATATTTTGCAGTTGCCAGAAAAACAAGTTTTTGCTGCATGGTCCGATTTGAAACAATTTACACACAATTTATGTTGCTGTATCCATTTCAATCGCTCACCTTCTGTCATTGCCAAGAACTTCTTACAATGAAAAATTGGATGGGAGTCGTTCTTGCATAGTTTACAACTCCTGTGATCCTCCACTGATGTTACGGACGAAACAGTTTTGGTTGAACCCTTGTGAGTAGATGCCGCTTTTCCAATCGATTCCATTGATTCAAATTGCAGTTCCAAAAATGCAAACAGCTCTTTCATAGTAGGAACTTCCTTCGGTTTCGCCAGTGATTGCATGAATCGTATGTACAGAGCGTGATCCAATTTCTTTGTGATCAATTGAATCAATAGAGCATCCCAAGACGTTGTGTCGATTTGAAGATTGTTGAGGGCTAGCATGCATTCCTTTGTAGTGTCATGCAGAGCCTCGATGGAGGCCGTTGATGAAGTTCCATTTGGTTGACTCAGAATCCGCTCTACTAGAGTGGAAACAAGAACCCGCTTATTGTTATAACGTTCTTGCAGCAACATCCATGCCGTTTTGTAATTATCCTCTGTCAAGGATAGATACTGATTAGTTTGCCAGCCTCGCCAGACAAATTGGTTTTAGATACCACATTTTTTGAACACTTGGAAGAGACTGTTTGTCTACCATCTCCAAGAAAAGTTCATAGAACTGACGCCACTTCAAACAATCCCTATTGAATTGAGGAATTGTTACCTTTGGTAGTGGGAGTGAACTGTGTGCTATAATGTCACTCCCTAATTGAGGTGCAATGGTCACGGTTTCGCTGCATTTGTCTTTCAAGACTGCTAGTTTTATTAAGTTGTCTTGTACCGAATCTTCCAGTATATCGTAGTTTTCTTGACTTAATCCAATTTTCGATGGATCTTCAATCTGCTGCAATATTTCATCGTAGAGCTCCGTTATTTGATTCCATAGCTTTTTTATAGTATCTTCTTTGATGCTATAAAATTGCTTCGGCTGTTCCGCTTCGATTGTGCCCAAGCCTTGCAAGTGACGACTAAGGGCACTCATTCGAGCATTTATCATTCTGACAATCCCATCAACACGGGAAGGTATTTTGTCTACTGCGACAACTTCAGTCGATTTCTCTCTCAAGGTGGGAACTGGCTTACTTTTGGCTGACCTCAGTTTCTTCATATTCCATTGTTGAGCTGAACTTCTCTCCAATCGTTCTATATAGATTCCGAGCATTATACGGATCATTCTCTGACAATGATGGATCATCGCGAATTCTGTTTTCTGCCTTCTCAAAATTCTGCCATAACAGCCTTAGTTCATCAAGTTTGCTCTTGTAGAACTCTTCCGTTCTCCTTTCAAGAGGTGCCTTCTTTATAGTAGAGACGAATTTTTCGAAATTGCTGCCTCTTTCTTCTTGCTGAGAAATAAGCTCTTGGACGTTTGCCATTATTGTTTGTTGATTTGTCAGCGAGTAGCAGCAGTTGTTGTATGATGATTAGTTACAGGCAATTTCCTCCTGGTTTTCCTCCAGAGCTCCAAAAAGGGGGTTTTTGAAATTGGTACGCGTGCGTTACGTCCTCACACCTTGTGGATAACGTCACCAAAAAATGTTTCGGTTTAGTTACCGTCAGGACCACGTCGGGGTCACCAAAAAATGTTTTGATAGTAGGATCTAGTGCGATTCAATTCAAACACATAAATTTGAACTGACACTTAGTATCCAAATTAATTTCCTTGCAAGCACATGAACTTGAAGGAAGCCGCCTAGATAGTAATGAAAATTCTTAGTTTAGTCACTACAAAAGACGACTGAATTTTCTTTATTTCTGGCAGTCTTTATATACATAATTTCTTAACATAATTAATTAAAATGATATTGATAAATGCTGATATAAATTAATTGTAATGTAGGTCGGCTACTAGTAGACATTAAATGCTATGTAAGCAAAATAAATAAATGTGTTAAAGAAACTTAAAAACATTGCAAAAGTGAATGAACTAATGGCCAATGAACTAAAATAAAGAAAATTAACTGTAACAATAAAATAGTCCAAATATGTGATATAATAATGCTGTATAAGCAGTTTAAAACTTATAAATATGTAGGTGTGCTTGATTTTTGTATTTATTGTTTGTTTTGGTAATTAAATCTAAAGTATGTTTATAGAACAATAAAAAAAAAAATATTTATGTATGTTTTAACATATATATATATATATATATATATATATAAATATATGGATCTAAATAGAACAATAAAAAAAATATTTATGTATGTTTTAACACACACACACATATATATATATATATATATATATATATATATATATATATATATATATATATATATATATATATATATATATATATGGATCTAAAGCTAAAACTGTAGATGCATACGTTGCAATAAGCATTTTGAAAACACTCGAATTTCAGTATTCTCTGAACAAAGAAAAAAAATTTAAATCGTATGGTATCATAGCCCTACCTTGATTTTATTGTTCTATGGCTACTGCTACCAATCGAGAATACAAACGAAAAACGTACAACAAACAAAAATAAATCAGTCAGCACGATCTACCATGATCTAGTTGCCATTATTAAAACTGATATGTCAGAAGCTCCAACATCATGTAATAATAATGTACTTTACTCGTGGTTAATTTTATATGAAATTGGAGCATTTGGAAATTGAATTAAAACGTAAAGCGTGAGCTGAAGCATTTAAATATGAATATTGCTTTCCAAAGTTAGGGTAGACAAACAAAAACCCAAAAATTGATAATTAAAAAAAAACAGAAGAATTAACAGATAAATGAAATAAGGCCCAGATCTAACCCAAAAACATTACATAAGACCCACGTGTATATGAATTACAAATTTTGAAAAAGACAAAATATTATTACACACAAAATTACAACCAATGTATGGACTTCTAAATAATATATGTAAGCAAAATAAAACATATCCACTAAATACATTTAAAAACTAAATAGTTCTTATAAAAACAATATATTCTGAAGTTTAGCAAGATGAGTTGAGTATTTGTTAGTCATTGGTAAGTCACTTTTGGGGTCACACAAGTCTGATGGCTCAGAAAATACCATGGATGATTGTAAAAGTCATATGGGTAGTTAAAAAAACAATAGAGGTTAACATCTAAACCTTACTTAGTGGAGACTGTATTTGTATTTTTTAAATTGATATGCCAAAGGTGCTATATATCGAAATTACACATTCCGGCGGGATAAGCCGCAGTTTAAGACCTCAATACCATGTCCGCTCAACTAGATTGTTACAAGGCAAGGCAAGGCAACTTCAGCCATGAATGTCAATATTTAATAGTAGTTACACTCTAAGGCAAATTTCAAAACTGCATATACCGCAGCATTGCCGATTTTTAAAATGCAAATGAAGGTTTTTGGTTTTGAAAAGGGTTTTTGGCAGCACTGGTGCAAATAAATAAATCTAACCAATCACAAAATGTTTTTAATAAGTAAAATGCGACTGATGATTGCATACCGCTAAGCCGAGGATGGCGGCATTTTTCATTCATTTAATATAATCCATTATATAGAATACATCTTTCCTTTCGGGCTGTTCCTATTTTTAGATTGTTTTTATGAATATTTATGTGAGTCATGGTCTTAGCCACACTGTCATGGTTTTAAGATGTATCGATAATAACACAATAAGTCTTCAAAATTATTTTATCTTTTTGTTCACATATTACATTTTTTTTCAAATATATTTCTGCTTTTATTAAAGTTATCCTCCAGACCTGTGGTGCTACATATGGTTTTATAAACATTTATAAAACACTTTTTAGTCTTCGCTGAGAGGGGTTAGCAAAACTGTTGTTGCGCGAGGATAGAGCGCCATCTACCAGCACAGAAGTCCGCATTTATTGTCCGTTATTGCTTGTTTTCATAATTCTATTTATAGCAATGTTTGCCAAACCCCGTTTTAACCTTTTTTGGCTTTATTAAGTGGGATATTCTGTAATACAAATAAATAGAAGTAGTACACGTTTTTAATGTATATTTCTTTATTTGATACAAGTTAGTTTTCATCATATAAAGGAGTTGAATCGCCTAAATTCATAGAATGTGGTGAGGTATTCGTACGCGGAGTACTTCGAATAGACCGAGGACTTCTTGTGGTGTATGCAAGGAAACATTTTGGGCGTATCATACCCAGCGTTGCTTATTCTTGATAAAGAGTTAAGCTGGGAAGTGGACACTGGAGTGTTTGTCACAATAGGGTCAGAATAATGATCTTTAATCCATTTAAGTAGGCCATTTAGTGAATCAATTTGCCCTCTAAAACGAAACCCTTCTGGAATTACAGTTATGTATTCATGTCGGCTTTTGTTTTTGGGTAAGTATGATAGCAAAAATTTTCCAGGATAATTTGTGGATGCTGAAATAAAATAGTGTATTTTTCTGGGGTCTTTTGTTTTTTCTTCTTTCAATAACTCTTCCATCTTGTCCTTATGTCCGCCTCCTGTATCACGATAGTACTTATAAGTGAGTAGTTCTCGAGCACAAGCTGCCATGGGATTAACATGTCTTGCTATAATTTCATCCAAATCTTCAAACTCTTCGTTTCCAATCCATAGCCTTTGGCCTAAACTGAAGGCGTTTTCTTTGCCTTCCTCGCGAACATCTATGTGCTGATAAATATCATTTTTTACTTTCCACGTTACAGTTAAGTGATCTGAACCTTTACTCGATGGTCGAACAATTACTTCGCCCTGATCCATATTTTCCATTATTTTTACAACTTCGGCATAAGATTTGTTATGAAAAGAAGGATGTATAATTACCCGCTTTACATATTTTTGTTTTGTTCTAACTTGTTTCTGATCTTTTTCTTTAGAGTTGTCTACTTCTTCTTGCTCATAATCATAAAATGGATCTCGCCTTGGTCGCCATTCGTGATTTTTGTCCATTAGATCAGAAATCTTTGATGAACAATCAACTGAAAAACGATCGACATCTATTTTGATAATTCTTACATGTATTGCTTGACCGGACTGAACTCTTTCTTCAGGATTTTTAATGTGTTAATCGGATAATTTTTTAATATGTATAAAACCCGACAGACCATTGTCGAGACGAAGTTTGACACCAGTAGCTTGGCCAGGACAAGCACCAGCATCGAAATTATTCCAAACTTCCGATAATTCTGGAAAATCGTCTGTTAAACAAAAAGGACATTGCCAATTACCGGTCTCATCATTTCGAACCGGATTTGCTTGGTCTAATTGTTCTCCTTGTGGCTTACGATGAGAAATCCCTGCAACCGTGGCTAACACCATTTTTCCAACATAAAACGATTCAGGTGTTTCTTTAGTTAACATATCGAACAGTTCTTCAGAATTTGCTGAGCGATATGGAATTCTGAAGTCTTTGTACAATGAATTCAACTCAGATCTGATATCATATAGTGTTATGCTCTTGTTTCCGAAACCTTGTCGTTCGAGCCCTACAGCAAATGCATCAAGATCGAGATCTTGTGGTCTTTCGGGGCTTTCTAAAATTTCTTCTAACGCACCGGCGGGATTGGATTCTTTGTCGTCATATTCCATTGCATCAATTGCCATTTTTCGAGCCCATTCATATGTTTCCGGATGTACTCGAGATCCATCAAGAACCTCCACATATGCTTCTGTACTATCACCAAGCGAGCTTGTATCAATTTTTATAAATCCAGAACAGTTTATAAATACTTTGGGACCTAGGTGACATAATGTCATTAACTGAGTTCTGTTTTCCAATCTTTGATTTGTCTGTTTAAGAATTTTTATTAAGGCTAGCCCTTTTCTTGGACCAAGTCCACATAGGAATTGTACCATATTTAATGTGTACGAATTTTTTACAGCCATATTTATGTCCACACCTACCTCATAAGTTTGATTTATGAATTCTATGTAAAGGTATTCCAGGAGTTCCTTTTAAAACTAATCTTGCAACTAGTGGTAACGCGAGCAGAGTATTCCTGCATCAATACCGCAGAGTTGGGGAACCGGTATTTTGCGAACAAGTGAAACGGAAGGCACTTTTGAAATACCATTGCATTCGCTTAATAAACCAGGTCGTCCGAGCAAATCATTTTCGGATTCGAGTGAACAAAAGAATAAAAATTGAAGAGATTCGATTAAATATTGATGGTGAAATGATTTTACATGCCACACAAGTTGTATTGCAAACGAGGGGACAAAGAAATGCCTCAAAATTGCTCAAAGAAATAGGAAGCTCAAAAACAAAGGCTAGTAAGAATAGAAAAGCCTATTCCAAGACCAATGAAACAATTGCTCCTTTGACCCCATCCCAAGCACTCAAAATGTTCGTAGAAGCTGATCGAACAAGACGACAATATGAAATAATAAGGGCAACTAACCCGAAGCATTACCCTTGTTACAACCTTTTGTTGAAAGCAAAACAAGAGTGCTACCCACCAAAGGTGCTCTTGAGTTTGGCAATTCGGTATTGCACGCAGAAATACGTATTTTTGAAAGCATTCTGCATTTGGCATATAAATTGCCCGTGAAGAAATATGGAAAGAAAAGGACACAGGAAGAAATAGCATTAGAAGAAGAAAGGAAAAAAGAAATCCAAGAAAGATTCCGCGTGGAAACTGTGCTGTTGGTGGGCATGCCTAAAGTCAATTTTGATAATACCAATGATAGCAATACGAGTAGGAGACTTTTTAAAACACAGGATTAGTGGCGGACATAACAGGCATTAACCATTTAAAATCTTATTAGAGGCGACTTCAAGTGGACACAAAATAAATACATCAAAATTCAAAGAATATGCCTTAAACACCGCGCAACTGTTTGTGGAATTATACGACTGGCATCCCATGACTCCATCAATGCATAAATCACTATTACATGGAGTAACCATCATAGATAATGATAATAAATAATGTACTGCTTCCAATCGATCAATTGTTGGAAGAGGCTGCACAAGCTCGAAATTAACATTTTCAGTCATACAGACAGAATTTTTCAAGAAAATTTTCAAGGGAAGAATGCAACTGTGATGTTTATCAAAGATTGCTTCTTACTTTAGATCCACTCATAAGTAGTGAAAGATCGTTAAAGAAAACTTCACACAAGATGTTTTCCAGTGAAGTTATAGAACTATTAGAACCTGCCGAGCTCCACACACAATCATGCATTGAGCACGAAGAAGTCGAGATAGAATCATCTTTGAATAAGACAATTTAATCTATTTTTATTTATTTATAATTTATGAAAATAAAACGTGCTTTTGTTATAGAAAATATGTTTTTCTTGTTTACTTTGTTAAATTAATACATAATTTTTTTTAGAATAATATATTTTAAAGCCATTAATGTCCAAACATATTTTTGGCCGCCTAAATGTTTCAAATCGACCACTGTGCGTCGCTTCGATTCAAAAATGGTATTACGGAAAGGCTTGGCGTTACATATCTTAAGTTCAAGTGAGGATGAAGAGGGGAATGTATTAGTAGTGCAGCGGCGAGTGCTAAGACAGCAAACAAACATATTTGCATTGTCTGCTCAAAGTATATATTTCAATTAATTTAATTAAAATATGTACTCAGTGTGTTCTTTTAGATTTTCAAATTACTTCAGATTTAACAAGGACTGTTTTCAGCATGTGCTAAAAGAAATTTCGCCAAAGTTGCCAAGTAGGCGCTGATACAAAATACAACCACTTCACTCGGAGACCTTTTGGTCCATTGTGTTCATCCTGATTAGGAAGAGATAAAAGTAGACTAAAGATAGGAGAAGAAATAAAATAGCTATGAGTGAAGAAGTAAACAAGTAAGTACGAAATTGTATAGAGAATGGAGAGTTTAAGAGATTTGTGTCTACGGCGTGTTAACACATCGTCTTTAGTCACTTTAGTCGTTTGGCTGGCTCAGTGTCGGAGAGGGAAGATAAATCCGACAGTATTCGTCAGCAGATTCATTTCCAGGTATGTTACAATGTCCAGGGACCCAACAGAGTTGAATAAACGATTTAGTCTTTTCCAGAGCATTCCTGCAATCCAGAACCGCCTTAGATTTGATTGTTCAAGCCTTCAGGGCCGCTTGACTATCGACATATATAGTCACCGGTCCGTCCAGTTCATTGACTCTATTTGCCAGCAACTCTATGGCCTTCCTGACAGCAAAAATTTCTGCCTGAAAAACACTAGAGTCGTTGTTTAATTTGAAGTATCGTCGGATATTTAGACTTTCACAGCAGACTCCGGCCCCCGTTCCACTTTCCATCTTTAATCCATCAGTATAAATAGCTATCCCGTAAAAGGTGGAGTATCACGAGTCCAAATGTCTCTGTTAGGTATGTGAATATCAAGTGGTTCAAAGCTGTGCCTAGGTGATATATAGTCACTAGTTATAGCCTGATTTACTATACTATCCACATACTTGATAATAGCGGAGTCTCCGAATGGTTGACCCCGCCATTGACCCAGCTCATTGAGCCGCAGGGCACACCTAGCAGCTTGTTCCTCTACGAGTAAACCTAACGGTTTTAAATTGAGTAGGGTATATAGTGCGGATTGGAGTGTGTGCTTCTGTAATTAGTAGCGATGCAACTCTTTGGACTTTATCAACGCATTTCCTGAAGGTGGTTTTCCCTAGGGAATGCCACCAGAAAATCCCCCCGTAGGTTAGAATTGGTCGGAGGACAGACTCATATAACCATTTGATTATGTGTGGCTTGAGACCCCAGCTTTTTCCTATGGAGTTTTTGCAATTAAGCCCTCTTCGCTCGCTCTTCGATGTTCCTCTTCCCAGCTTCTGGTCTAGGATGGTACCGAGGTATTTAGCTTCCGAGGAAAAGCTTAGCAGAACATCATCAAGGATAGGCAGCGAAAAACCGGTATTTTCCGCTTCCTTGTGAAAAGTACCAGCTCAGTTTTTGATGGATTCACGCCAAGTCCATTGCAGCGTGCTCATCTCGAAAGTTTAACTAGAGCTGCTCCCTGCATAAGATCTGTAACAGTCTGCGGAAATTTCCCAGCAATCAGCAAGACAACATCATCGGCGTAAGCCACGACTTTGTCCTACCTTCTTCCAGTTCGATTAGAATTTTGTTTATCACCAAAAGCCAGAGTAGTGGTGATAGAGCCCCTCATTGCGGGGTGCACCTAGTAACAGATTTCCTGACAGAACACTCCCCGATGCTTGAGTTGATGATTCTGCTGCTGAGCATGACATCAATGCAATCAATTAGGAGTGGTGGTATACTATGTTCTACTAGGGAACTGTGAATTGCATCGAGTGTGCTCTTAGGTCTAAAATTAAATTAGCCGGCTTAACTCCAGTGTAGTAAAAACTCTTCATTTTTTTTTTAATTTTTTTTTCAGTGGTATGTATTTTTAACCTCATTCCGGGATACCATTTTTTGGGGACGGACCTGTAACCCTAATTTTTGACCCGATAATCCGGGTCCAAGACCGGATCCACTTACCCAATATATTATGATGGGCCTTCATGTGACCCCATAATGTGGATAGGTATTTTCATAAGCGATATAGGTATAACATATATCGGATAAGTGGATTCGGTTTTGAACCTGAACTTTCGAGTCAAAAATCTGGGAATCATATTAATAGTTTCCCGGAATCATGGTAAAAATACCTTCCTCTGGAAAAAATTTCGAAAAAAAAAAAATCGAAAAGCTTTTACTAAACTAAAGTTGTTTCAATTGGCCACAGCAGCATTGAGGTTTTCAGCATTGGGATCTTATTAGACCAGTGTCGGAAATGACTTCAATATTTCCAAATTGTTTTGCTGTTGTTATTTTCATGGTCAAATGTCAAATACAAAATTTTTTAAAATATCAACGTCGACTAAAAAATACAACGTCGTCACAATTTCTTACGGACAGATAATGCTGTAAAAACGACTTCACATCGACAATGAACGACAAAAAACGACAACCCCAATACCATTATTGTCGCCTCGACTTCATTTTGCGACGACGTCGACAACCGTAATAGGGCAGATTAATAATCTTAAATTAAAAGTCAAACAGCTACAAAAAAAAAAAAATAATAATAAAACAAGACAAATTTCATAACATATTTAGAAATTGTTATAAAAAAACATTTTTTTATATTGTTATAGCATACAAGAAATAAGTGTTAAGTCCGCACTATAGAGACTCGGGAAACAGGTACCAGTTCGCATGTGTGGCTGTCAAAAGCATTTATTCTGATGTCACGGTCGATTAATACGAGCGGAGAGCGACCATCGGCTGTTATGGCGGCCCACATCATCACCATGGCCGGCGCTTGAGTTCTGGTGGCCAACCGAAGGTGCACATTTTCATCTGACCTCTTTGGCAAGTAAACACGATCATTTTGTTTGTTTACAAACTGCTGGACAACGAATGTTTTCTCATCGGAGAAATTCGGCAGTTCACCACTTTCGGCCAGGCGAAGCAACTCTTTAGCTCATTTGAGTCTATTTTCTTTCGGTTGCGGTGTAAGTTCTTGCACTTTTTGGAATTTCATTGGCTTTACCCCGAGCTCATTTTTTAATATTTGCCGAACGGAATATTGCTATATGTTCAGCTCACGAGCCATTTATCGGCCACTGCGATGCGGGTTTCGATCAAGTTGCTTCTTTACTTTTCGAACTATTTCTGCTGATGTTGCTGTTTTCTACCGCAGTGACAAGCGATGGTACGAAACACAAAAGATTTATTCACATTTAAATGCTGGAGTGTTCTAACGATAGCCACTTGTGGCTTGAATTCCATTATGAATTACTTTTTTTTCTGCAAAATTCTCACCAAAATTGTACGCTTGTAAACTATATAATGAGCTGTCACTGGAATAAAAGCTGTCGGACGAGTGGCTTAAAAATGACAGCAGTTTGAAGTTGGTTGTAGTTTTTTTCATCTCACCCTGTATATATATATATATATATATATATATATATATATATATATATAGATCCAAAGCTTTAATTCGCTACAAAAACTGTAGATGCATACGTTGCAATAAGCATTTTGAAAACACTCGAATTTGAATATTTTCTGAACAAAGAATACACACACATAAACAAATAAAGTTGACATATTAAGCCAAGAAAAAAAATTAAAATCGTATGGTATCATAGCCCTACCTTGATTTTATTGTGCTATGGCTACTGCTATCAATCAAGAATACAAACGACAAACGTACAACAACCAAAAATAAATCAGTAAGCACCATCTACCATGATCTAGTTGCCATAATTAAAACTGATATGTCATAAGCTCCATCATCATGTAATAATAATGCACTTTACTCGTGGTTAGTTTAATATGAAATTGGAGCATTTGGAAATTTAATTAAAACGTAAAGCATGAGCTAAAGCATTTAAATATGAATATTGCTTTCAAAATTTAGGGTAGACAAACAAAAACCCAAAAATCGATAATTAAAAAAAAAAACAGAAGAATTAACAGATAAATGAAATAAGGCCCAGATCTAACCCAAAAACATTACATAAGACCCACGTGTATATGAATTACAAATTTTGAAAAAGACAAAATATTATTACACACAAAATTACAACCAATGTATGGACTTCTAAATAATATATGTAAGCAAAATAAAACATATCCACTAAATACATTTAAAAACTAAATAGTTCTTAAAAAAACAATATATTTTGAAGTTTAGCAAGATGAGTTGAATATTTGTTAGTCATTGGTAAGTCACTTTTGGGGTCACACAAGTCTGATGGCTCAGAAAATACCATGGATGACTGTAAAAGTCATATGGGAAGTAAAAAAAAAAAAACAATCGAGGTTAACATCATAACCTTACTTAGTGGAAATTGTATTTTTTAAATTGATATGCCAAAGGTGCTATATATCGAAATTAGACATTCCGGCGGGATAAGCCGCAGTCTAAGACCTCAATACCATGTCCGCTCAACTAGATTGTTACAAGGTCATGTGCAACTTCAGCCATGGATGCCAATATTTAATAGTAGTTACACTCTAAGGCTAATTTCAAAATTGCATATACCGCAGCATTGCCGATTTTTAAAATTCAAATGAAGGTTTTTGGTTTTGGAAAGTGAAGATTTTTTTTGTTATGTTTTTGGCAGCACTGGTGCAAATAAATAAATCTAACCAATCACAAAATGTTTTTAATAAGTAAAATGCGACTGATGATTGCATACCGCTAAGCCGAGGATGGCGGCATTTTTCATTCATTTAATATAATCCATTATATAGAATACATCTTTCCTTTCGGGCTGTTCCTATTTTTAGATTGTTTTTATGAATATTTATGTGAGTCATGGTCTTAGCCACACTGTCATGGTTTTAAGATGTATCGATAATAATACAATAAGTCTTCAAAATCATTTTATCTTTTTGTTCACATATTACATTTTTTTCAAATATATTTCTGCTTTTATTAAAGTTATCCTCCAGACCTGTGGTGCTACATATGGTTTTATAAACATTTATAAAACACTTTTTAGTCCTCGCTGAGAGGAGTTAGCAAAACTGTTGTTGCGCATTTATTTATTGTCCGTTATTGCTTGTTTTCATAATTCTATTTATAGCAATGTTTGCCAAACCCCGTTTTAACCTTTTTTGGCTTTATTAAGTGGGATATTCTGTAATACAAATAAATAGAAGTAGTACACGTTTTAAATGTATATTTCTTTATTTGATACAAGTTAGTTTTCATCATATAAAGGAGTTGAATCGCCTAAATTCATAGAATGTGGTGAGGTATTCGTACGCGGAGTACTTCGAATAGACCGAGGACTTCTTTGATAGTCTAGGGGAGGCCTGACTCGATTATCTTCTACGTACTGAGGCGTTGGGTGAAAGTAATCAATGCTTGGTGGCGGCATACAAAAATTCGCGGGTCAGATAGATTCTGCTCTACTCTGTGGTATCACAGGATTCACTCGTTTACGCCTCGCCCATGAATCTGAAGCTATTTGCCATTCTAAGCTCTCATTCGTACGCTGTGTTCTGTGATTTTTGTTGTCAAATCGTTGTAGATTTCCATACCTAGCGTCTTTTGAATTTCGATCATTGTGTGATTGATTGCCATAGGTTAAATGTGAAGTCGAAGAGCCTGGGCTAGGTGTATTGCTGCCGTATCGAGGAGTTTGAGATGAGTGGGGAGTGGTATAAGGAGTCATAAATGGAGTTTGGCCACTTGGAGTGTATGGTGTGTTAACATATCCACCATGAAAACCCGGTGTGCTTGAAAAATGTGGTGTATGCATGGAAACATTTTGAGACATTTGTTGCGAAGTTCTTGAATCAGTTACTCTGGGCGTATCATACCCAGCGTTGCTCATTCTTGATAAAGAGTTAAGCTGGGAAGTGGACACTGGAGTGTTTGTCACAATAGGGTCAGAATAATGATCTTTAAACCATTTAAGTAGGCCATTTAGTGAATCAAAAATTTGCCCTCTAAAACGAAACCCTTCTGGAATTACAGTTATGTATTCATGTCGGCTTTTGTTTTTGGGTAAGTATGATAGCAAAAATTTTCCAGGATAATTTGTGGATGCTGAAATAAAATAGTGTATTTTTCTGGGGTCTTTTGTTTTTTCTTCTTTCAATAACTCTTCCATCTTGTCCTTATGTCCGCCTCCTGTATCACGATAGTATTTATAAGTGAGTAGTTCTCGAGCACAAGCTGCCATGGGATTAACATGTCTTGCTATAATTTCATCCAAATCTTCAAACTCTTCGTTTCCAATCCATAGCCTTTGGCCTAAACTGAAGGCGTTTTCTTTGCCTTCCTCGCGAACATCTATGTGCTGATAAATATCATTTTTTACTTTCCACGTTACAGTTAAGTGATCTGAACCTTTACTCGATGGTCGAACAATTACTTCACCCTGATCCATATTTTCCATTATTTTTACAACTTCGGCATAAGATTTGTTATGAAAAGAAGGATGTATAATTACCCGCTTTACATATTGTTGTTTTGTTCTAACTTGTTTCTGATCTTTTTCTTTAGAGTTGTCTACTTCTTCTTGCTCATAATCATAAAATGGATCTCGCCTTGGTCGCCATTCGTGATTTTTGTCCATTAGATCAGAAATCTTTGATGAACAATCAACTGAAAAACTATCGACATCTATTTTGATAATTCTTACATGTATTGCTTGACCGGACTGAACTCTTTCTTCAGGATTTTTAATGTGTTAATCGGATAATTTTTTAATATGTATAAAACCCGACAGACCATTGTCGAGACGAAGTTTGACACCAGTAGCTTGGCCAGGACAAGCACCAGCATCGAAATTATTCCAAACTTCCGATAATTCTAGAAAATCCTCTTTTAAATAAAAAGGACATTGCCAATTACCGGTCTCATCATTTTGAACTGGATTTGCTTGGTCTAATTGTTCTCCTTGTGGCTTACGATGAGAAATCCCTGCAACCGTGGCTAACACCATTTTTCCAACATAAAACGATTCAGGTGTTTCTTTAGTTAACATATCGAACAGTTCTTTAGAATTTGCTGAGCGATATGGAATTCTGATGTCTTTGTACAATGAATTCAACTCAGATCTGATATCATATAGTGTTATGCTCTTGTTTCCGAAACCTTGTCGTTCGAGCTCTACAGCAAATGCATCAAGATCGAGATCTTGTGGTCTTTCGGGGCTTTCTAAAATTTCTTCTAACGCGCCGGCGGAATTGGATTCTTCGTCGTCATATTCCATTGCATCAATTACCATTTTTCGAGCCCATTCATATTTTTCCGGATGTACTCGAGATCCATCAAGAACCTCCACATATGCTTCTGTACTATCACCAAGGGAGCTTGTATCAATTTTTATAAATCCAGAACAGTTTATAAATACTTTGGGACCTAGGTGACATAATGTCATTAACTGAGTTCTGTTTTCCAATCTTTGATTTGTCTGTTTAAGAATTTTTATTAAGGCTAGCCCTTTTCTTGGACCAAGTTCACATAGGAATTGTACCATATTTAATGTGTACGAATTTTTTGTATGTATTTAATGTTGTATTGCAAACGAGTGGACAAAGAAATGCCTCAAAATTGCTCAAAGAAATAGGAAGTTCAAAAACAAAGGCTAGTAAGTATAGAAAAGCCTATTCCAAGACCAATGAAACAATTGCTCCTTTGACCCCGTCCCAAGCACTCAAAATTTTCGTAGAAGCTGATCGAACAAGACGACAATATGAAATAATAAGGGCAACTAACCCGAAGCATTACCCTTGTTACAACCTTTTGTTGAAAGCAAAAGAAGAGTGCTACCCACCAAAGGTGCTCTTGAGTTTGGCAATTCGGTATTGCACGCAGAAATACGTATTTTTGAAAGCATTCTGCATTTGGCATATAAATTGCCCGTGAAGAAATATGGAAAGAAAAGGACACAGGAAGAAATAGCATTAGAAGAAGAAAGGAAAAAAGAAATCCAAGAAAGATTCCGCGTGGAAACTGTGCTGTTGGTGGGCATGCCTAAAGTCAATTTTGATAATACCAATGATAGCAATACGAGTAGGAGATTTTTTAAAACACAGGATTAGTGGCGGACATAACAGGCATTAACCATTTAAAATCTTATTAGAGGCGACTTCAAGTGGACACAAAATAAATACATCAAAATTCAAAGAATATGCCTTAAACACCGCGCAACTGTATGTGGAATTATCCGACTGGCATCCCATGACTCCATCAATGCATAAATCACTATTACATGGAGTCACCATCATAGATAATGATAATAAATAATGTACTGCTTCCAATCGATCAATTGTCGGAAGAGGCTGCACAAGCTCGAAATTAACATTTTCGGTCATACAGACAGAATTTTTCAAGAAAATTTTCAAGGGAAGAATGCAACTGTGGTGTTTATCAAAGATTGCTTGTTTAATTTAGAATTGCGTTAAATATTGCTTTTTATTGACCCCTGGTTTGGTCCTTAATTATTCGTTAAAATGTACGCGCTACGGTTTATTGCAACCTTGTGCTAGCGCCTTTGACATTTTAACGAGTAATTAGTTGTCACTTGCTATGCCGCCTCCTTTAGACATCAAGTAGTATTTCGCTGTCATTCGGACAGACAACACTCGCAATATCGTTTGCACCACATATCGTTGTGCATAGAGAGGCATATTGTTGCCAAACGTAATATTGTTACCCACCAACCAAACTAGCAATAAATAGTTGACTTATAATAAGAAAAAGTCTTGTTTTATTTTTTATATTTCCCCCCTACGGTCCACTGCTCGAGGCATTCGGCGTTTCACTCCCATCGGCGGAGCCCCTCTGAGCTAAACATTGGTCAATTCGAGCCAGATTTGGATCATCGCTTGCGTATGGATACTTGGATCCTGCATAAATGTACAGTCTATTACTCCTGCATTACAAGGTACGTATAGTGCAGTGTTGTTTTTAAGTGAGCTCGCGTTATTAAATTACCGCGACACCAACAAAACATCGGTTTTGTTTGGGTACAAAGGTCGTTTTACAACGTCACCTCTTTCCCTTTTGTTTTGTTTCCCGCCAATCGTCGGCTTCTAATTTGGATGCTTGTATTCGGCAGCATCAAAATCAAAACAAAACTCAAAAATAAAATTGTCGCAAAAATCGTTTGCTAATTTTCTTTTTGTTTTGGTTCATTTAAAACAACAAAACATTCAATATTTCGTTGATACCAATAAAAACTTCGTCAGGTATTGTTGTTGCTAGCTCTTAGTTTGGTGTGCTTTACGCATAAAACAAAGATTGCAATATAATTCTTTTTGTTTGGTCTGTCCGCTTTAATATTGCATATTTTTGTTGTTACATTTATTCTCTTTTTCTCGTTGTAACAACAGTCAAATTCATTTTCTGTTTTGTTTGTCGCAAACAACAACAACACCGTTTGAACATCCACCAACATCACTGCATGTTTTGTCGTTGTTCTCTGATCACCACTTGTTGTTTGTGCTTTGTTAGATCAGTGAACGAACATAACAAACGAAGGAAGAATATTTTTGTGTATTCCTCTTTCTGTCGTGTCCGTTAGGTTGAGTAGCTACACTACGTTGGTCGGTCACCTCTATTTGTTATAGTAGTGGGTATTGAGTGTAAAATTAAAGTTATTATTAAAGTTAAAATAATATAAATACTATAGTGTATTTAATTTTTGTTGTTGTTTTCGTACTTTTGAAATTTCATTTTGACTAATTAAATAAATATAAATAAAATTGTTATTTTATTTATTTCTCTATTTTCTCCCAATTTGGTTCGGTGTTTCTTGCTATAATTATGGCCTCCTCTCCTCTACAAATTTTCATAAAAGCATCTGACGCTCTGACAGAATTTGGTGCACAAATCGGTGCACTAAAAGGTGACTATTTAGATATTAGTATATTAGAGGAAAGGAAGAGCAAGCTAGAAAAGTTATGGCAATCGGTCAATAAGTCGTTACGAAATTTAGAAAATTCAGAAAATGTTACTAAAGAATATCTGCATTTGGCAGAGTGTAAATATGTTTCTATTAACATTTACACAAGTGCAAGGACAACAATCGATAGAATAATTATAAAAAATCGTTGTACCACAAAAAATTTGTTTAAAAACGCGGATAAAAATCAAGAGCAATCGGCTCAATCTCTTTTGGTTCCTGAATCGCAGGAAAATATTGCCGCAAGTATTTCTTCTGGTTGTGATATCGTTCACAATATGGCATTGCCCCCAATTGATATTGATATTTTTGAGGGAGATTTTTCTTCTTGGCCTTCCTTTCGGGATTTGTTTAGCGCCATTTACATAAACAACTCTCGTTTGAGTGATGTCGAACGCATGTTCTATTTGCTTAATAAAACTGCTAGAGAAGCTCGGGAAATCGTTTCGCAGTTTCCTCTAACTAACCGTGGTTTTGCTTTCGCATGGAAAGCATTAAATGATGAATACAACAATATTCGATTATTGGTTTATCATCAACTAAAGTCGTTGCATAATCTTCCAATTCTTCTCAAAGAAACTGCATCGGGTCTAAAAGAGATCCGACGGGGAATAAACAGTTGCATATTTTCAATGTCGACCTACAACGTTCCCACAGATCAATGGGATCCGATACTGGTGTTTCTTTGCCTACAACGTTTACCTAAAGAAACGCAACTGCTTTGGGAACAAGGTATCAAAAACAAATTGGCTTTCTTCGTGGAAAGATTTAGACACCTTTCTTTCAGAAAGGATAAACACGCTTGTGTGTTTGGAAAATTATAGCGACAAATCGATTCCTTCGCCTAATTCTAATTCGGTTAATACTGCTAGGAATTCTCATTTCAAATGTTTATCTTCCCCTTCAATTGGAAAATCATGTCCCTTTGCCAAACAATTTATGCAATGGTCGTGGCGCTTTACAAATGCAAATCTATTTGCGGGGGACAAATTCTTAAATTTTGAACAAAAATTAAGTCGATGGCATTTCTCTCGACAAAGAGGACATGATGCTTTACTTTGCTGCTGCTGATGCTGCTTTTTTGATGTTTGCTTTACGTTTTAATTTGTTGAACAAATCTTTGGGGAATTGTGAGGTTTTGTTTGTGAGGTTTTTTTGCAATATCTGCTGAAATTTGTTCCCAATAATAAATGCGCCTTGCGTTGGCATTATCCCAGGAGAGTTAGCCGTAATAACCATTAAAAACTGTTTTTCACCATGAGTTGTAAACAGCCCAAATGGCCCGCAGACAGTTTGCATTAAAAATTATTGTATGTGGGTACATAGGGAGACTTACACTTGACGTCAAATATTGCAAACAGTGACGCGAAACCCATAGCTTTCCCTATACTGATAGAGTCTGGTTTTTGTTTTTTGCGATTTCCTCTATTATCTGCCAGCGACACACCGCCAACCAACAACCAACCACAACGAAGAATTGCAATCTTTTATTGTTGCTCTTGCTCTGCTGGCAAGTTGCAAATCTTGTTTTGTTTTCATCAGCAGGCAGATCACTTGGAGAACTTTTATGAAATAATTGCCAGCCAGCCGGGTGGATGGATGAACGTAGGACCGAAAGAGTCGGCGGGAAACCTGTTGAATAATTGCATGACATGGCGACAATTTGAACAGATGTTAGAAATGAACATTTTTTTTTAATTTCGTTCTTGTCATTTTATCGAACAATCGATCCATAAAGGGACATAAACTAGTAAATTGTACTAGTAAAAATAGTTGTTCGAAATGTGGTCAACGTCATCACACGTTATTACATCGCGAGTCATTAAAACCGAATAGTTCGATTCCGGTTTTGACTCCAAAAGCTCAGGCAAGCTCGTCAAAATCGTTGTTGTCAGCTGAAGCCCCAGTTTTTCGTCCCTCAATATGTACATCCTCCACATGGGTTGGAGTCGAAAATTCAAAAACTAAATTTGTTTGTTTGAAATCGCTTAACAAAATGTCGAAGAGGAACCTGATTAAATTCATAAAAACCAATTTATCAGATGGAAATCATAAAGGGAAATTAAAATCTGTAAACAATGTTGTAAAACGACCTCCGCATGAAATCGGCCTAGCGAATATCGTTTCGGGAAACACGTAGCTCGATTGAAGTCCGAATCTGTAACTGCAGGTTCATCTGCGGCTTCAAAATATTACATTTCGTGTAATAATATGCTTGATTGAAGTCCGAATCTGTTACTGCAGATTCATCTGCGGCTTCATATTATCGTTGTAGCGGAGATGGATCCCGAATCTGTTACTGCAGATTCATTTGCGTTTCCATTCCCTACATTTTGTTCGAATAAAAAGCTCACGCTGCACTATGCATCCAGTACCTACCATCGGAACTAAATTAGATTAAGTTTAATTGTGTTGAAACATGCTTTGATGTTTCAAGGGGGTCGGCATGTTTAATTTAGAATTGCATTAAATATTGCTTTTTATTGACCCCTGGTTTGGTCCTTAATTATTCGTTAAAATGTACGCGCTACGGTTTATTGCAACCTTGTGCTAGCGCCTTTGACATTTTAACGAGTAATTAGCTGTCACTTGTTATGCCGCCTCCTTTAGACATCAAGTAGTATTTCGCTGTCATTCGGACAGACAACACTCGCAATATCGTTTGCACCACATATCGTTGTGCATAGAGAGGCATATTGTTGCCAAACGTAATATTGTTACCCACCAACCAAACTAGCAATAAATAGTTGACTTATAATAAGAAAAACTCTTATTTTATTTTTTATATTTCCCCCCTACGGTCCACTGCTCGACGCATTCGGCGTTTCACTCCCATCGGCGGAGCCCCTCTGAGCTAAACATTGGTCAATTCGAGCCAGATTTGGATCATCGCTTGCGTATGGATACTTGGATCCTGCATAAATGTACAGTCTATTACTCCTGCATTACAAGGTACGTATAGTGCAGTGTTGTTTTTAAGTGAGCTCGCGTTATTAAATTACCGCGACACCAACAAAACAATCGGTTTTGTTTGGGTACAAAGGTCGTTTTACAACGTCACCTCTTTCCCTTTTGTTTTGTTTCCCGCCAATCGTCGGCTTCTAATTTGGATGCTTGTATTCGGCAGCATCAAAATCAAAACAAAACTCAAAAATAAAATTGTCGCAAAAATCGTTTGCTAATTTTCTTTTTGTTTTGGTTCATTTAAAACAACAAAACATTCAATATTTCGTTGATACCAATAAAACCTTCGTCAGGTATTGTTGTTGCTAGCTCTTAGTTTGGTGTGCTTTACGCATAAAACAAAGATTGCAATATAATTCTTTTTGTTTGGTCTGTCCGCTTTAATATTGCATATTGTTGTTGTTACATTTATTCTCTTTTTCTCGTTGTAACAACAGTCAAATTCATTTTCTGTTTTGTTTGTCGCAAACAACAACAACACCGTTTGAACATCCACCAACATCACTGCATGTTTTGTCGTTGTTCTCTGATCACCACTTGTTGTTTGTGCTTTGTTAGATCAGTGAACGAACATAACAAACGAAGGAAGAATATTTTTGTGTATTCCTCTTTCTGTCGTTTCCGTTTAGGTTGAGTAGCTACACTACGTTGGTCGGTCACCTCTATTTGTTATAGTAGTGGGTATTGAGTGTAAAATTAATGTTATTATTAAAGTTAAAATAATATAAATACTATAGTGTATTTAATTTTTGTTGTTGTTTTCGTACTTTTGAAATTTCATTTTGACTAATTAAATAAATATAAATAAAATTGTTATTTTATTTATTTCTCTATTTTCTCCCAATTTGGTTCGGTGTTTCTTGCTATAATTATGGCCTCCTCTCCTCTACAAATTTTCATAAAAGCATCTGACGCTCTGACAGAATTTGGTGCACAAATCGGTGCACTAAAAGGTGACTATTTAGATATTAGTATATTAGAGGAAAGGAAGAGCAAGCTAGAAAAGTTATGGGAATCGGTCAATAAGTCGTTACGAAATTTAGAAAATTCAGAAAATGTTACTAAAGAATATTTGCATTTGACAGAGTGTAAATATGTTTCTATTAACATTTACACAAGTGCAAGGACAACAATCGATAGAATAATTATAAAAAATCGTTGTACCACAAAAAATTTGTTTAAAAACGCGGATAAAAATCAAGAGCAATCGGCTCAATCTCTTTTGGTTCCTGAATCGCAGGAAAATATTGCCGCAAGTATTTCTTCTGGTTGTGATATCGTTCACAATATGGCATTGCCCCCAATTGATATTGATATTTTTGAGGGAGATTTTTCTTCTTGGCCTTCCTTTCGGGATTTGTTTAGCGCCATTTACATAAACAACTCTCGTTTGAGTGATGTCGAACGCATGTTCTATTTGCTTAATAAAACTGCTAGAGAAGCTCGGGAAATCGTTTCGCAGTTTTCTCTAACTAACCGTGGTTTTGCTTTCGCATGGAAAGCATTAAATGATGAATACAACAATATTCGATTATTGGTTCATCATCAACTAAAGTCGTTGCATAATCTTCCAATTCTTCTCAAAGAAACTGCATCGGGTCTAAATGAGATCCGACGGGGAATAAACAGTTGCATATT